AGAATCCGAGACTATTTCGCACAGTACAAACGGAATCTGATCCACTGGTGGAGCTGTGGTGTCACTTCCCGATCCATGGCCACACTGTGGGTGTTGCGGAATAAGCGTCAAGTAAAAATGTATGAACGTACGAACCTTACAGGACTCCTTGGCCAACCTGTACCATGGATCCGTTTCTGGATAATCCTCGATCAACTTCCGGTCATCTTGTGCAGTTACCTCAGTCACCTTGACGACTCCTTCAATGAAAAAAAAACTACGCAGGATTGAATTTGAGTGAATAACTAGAGTTTGCCTGCAGCAAAGTCAAGAAGATTGAAAACTGCAGTGTAACAACAAGCAGCGAACAGTCGGGCTGGTACGTGATGCTTTGGCGCCGTCATTACCTACAAAAACTTCCATGAATAAGTCATTAGCACAAATGCGCCCAAATCTCCTAACCTGGGGAGGACAAAGAAGAGCATCGAGTTTTTCCTCTTGCATTAGTACAACGAAGTCCGCTCGGTAGTCTTCAATATCTGCGTAGGTCTCGCGAAGTTCTGGAAGCTACGCGAGATTTTTTAGTGCAAGTGCTTCCATAATTACACCTTGTTCGCTGCGGACGCAAGGGCGTTTGTGGGGGAGGGTGGCGGGGGGGGGGGCTAACAAGGGAAGGATGGTAGGTCGAAGTGGCCATTTGAAATGAAATGTATACCGGCTGAAAGGTCTTCGGACGGGAATTACGAAACCGTCTTCCATATCTGCTGCGGACCTCCCAGAAAGAAGTTACGGAGCTTTTCAAGGGGAGAATATTCGCATTCAGTACAATTGGCGGCGTAAGGCCACGACGTTGCAGCGTGGCCGAGTGGATATGTTGTTGGACTCAAGTATGCATGGTCGAGCGTTTGGAGCCTTGTTGCGTATGCTCTATTGCATTTTTTCAAAAGTGGTCTGTGGGAACTTCAGCGCGATTTTGCATAACTCTTGTGCTTGATAATGTCTTGACGTAATGTTTATGAACTGATGGAGTCACTATGGAGAACATTTTGTTGACTTGTTGATCTTCTTCTTTTACATTGATTTACAAGCATATTTTTTCAGCGGAACAAATATGCATTTCAGAGAATGATTTTGCCTTGAAAAATGACTTTATTCTCCAAACGACATGACTGGAAACCGAAGCCGCACGAAGTTGTGCACGAAGATGAGTATAGTGGGGAAATGCTTTCATATGAAGTGGCGTTGATGTGGCAATCATGCTGGAGATCGCGATGGGCAAAACCTTCATTCATCACTCACATAGTGTTGAATGATGTCTATCCCAAAGTGGTTTCGCACCTGCTGGAAGTTTTCGGCTCGTATGACAATCTCTTCAGCCAGAAGTGATCTCCATGAAACCGTTCGCAATTACGTCACGACAATATCAAGTACAAGAGTTATGCAAAATCGCTTTGAAGTGTCCAGAGACTACTTTTGAAAAAATGCAAAAGATGACGCGCAACGAGGCTCCAAACCCTTGACTATGCATTCGTGAGTCCTACAACAGATCCACTCGGCCACGCTGCAACCGATGGCGTCGACTTACGCCGCCAATTCGTACTGAATGCCAGTATTCTCCCCCTAAAAAGCTCCGTAACTTCTTTCTGGGAGGTCCGCAGCAGATATGGAAGACGGTTTCGTAATTCCGTCCGAAGACCTTTCAGCCGGTATACATTTCATTTCAAATGGCCACTTCGACCTACCATCCTTCCCTTGTAAGTTTAGCGCGGCGCAGCCACACCTCAACCAAATATGCTCATGTGCTAGCTTGCAAACTTGTGGAGATCAGGCTACGCCATAATGTACCCACCCTCCCGAAGCGCCCCAGTGTCCGCAGTGAACAAGACTGTCTTTAGAAAAAGTGGGAGGGGGAGGGGAGTCGATCTCGAGACCGTGTAAGTGCGAAGTGGCCAAACTATCCACCTGGATACGAGAGCGGCTCCACTTACCACCAGTATTCAGCGCCATCGAGTGCATCATATTGGCCAGACGTGGGAAAATGTATTTTACAGGATAGGCGAGTATACGTTGTAGCCGAAGGGGAATCATAAACAGCACGACTTGACCGTACAGCGTTGGATCAATAATGTCCTAAAATCAATAACTGGGAGGAAATATTGATTAATTTTCTCAAATACTGGCCATGCGGGTGTGTGTGTTTTCTTCTTCTAACCTTTGTCATCTTCATCACCTTCTATTCGGACTCTGAAGCATGAGCAATACCTCAAATGTTAGGAAATTGCGTTTTGCTTGTATTGTCATGTTTTATTGTCATGTTCTGTGGGAATGCGGCCTCTGAGGGATATTGCAGAAGCACCACAGTTGCTCTTGAGTTCTAGCCCTCGTCATCATCTTCGGTTCTTATTTTGCAGCACCTAAAATGTTATCCGCATAAAGAAATTGCGTTGTACTTGTATTCCAAAGCGCAATTACAGGACTTGGCAAAAAGCCAAGAGAGCTGCACGCGACCGCGCCGCGCGGATGGTGTTAGCATAAACGTGAGGGCGGTGTAGCAAGGAATTACGACTTTCCCACGGCCCCGTACTCTGACCCCGTGCAGTTTTGGGCGGGGGGACCACGACACATCGACAGCTGGGGGGCTGATAGTCTCATACACCCTCAATGTGTTTGAGCGTACCATGTGTCTTTAAAGACACATGGTACGCTCAAACACATTGAGGGTGTATGAGACTATCAGCCCCCCAGCTGTCGATGTGTCGTGGTCCCCCCGCCCAAAACTGCACGGGGTCAGAGTACGGGCCGTGGGAAAGTCGTAATTCCTTGCTACGCCGCCCATTTCGCAAGCTCACGTTTATACTTCCACCGTCAGCGCGGCGCGGTCGCGTGCAGTCTCTTGGCTTTTTGCCAGGGCGCGGCGCGGTCGCGTGCAGCTCTATTGGCTTTTTGCCAATTCCTGCAATTGCGCTTCGGAATACAAGAAAAACGCAATTTCTTAATGCAGGTAACATTATAGGTGCTGCAAAATAAGGACCGGAGATGATGACGTGAGGTAGAGTTCTGAAGCAACTGCGCGGTTCCTGCAGCGTTCCTCTGAGACC